GATGTAATCCAAGAGGAAGATGAATGGCACTCACTCACCCTTTGATGCTCTGGCCTTTAGTGCAGCTCCTCAGGTGGTGGTGACCCCAACCATACAATTATTTTCATTGCTACTACATAACTTAATTTTGCTACTGTTGTGAATCATAATGTAAACATCTGATATGCAGGACATCTGCCATGTGACCCCCTGTCAAAGGGTCACTCGACCCCAGGGGTTGAGAACTACTCACTGGTCTAGACTATACTGTAACTAAATTTTTCTGCTTTCTGAAAGATTTAAGGAAAAAGGAAAAAAAAAAAAAAGGACTAGTCACAGAGTATTTACAAAAGATGTTTGACAAGTCAATTATCCAAAATACACAAAAAATAAAAACAAAAGTCCCCTCTTAAAATTCAGTAAGAAAACAAAGATTCTGACTTTTAGGAAAAGTCAAATACTGTAACAGAAGAAACCCCTCGAAGACCTACAGATACCAACCAAGCACAGGACGAACTATGGTAAGGCATGATATGAACAGTATGACCCCTAGCGTCTACTTAGGAAAAGAGTGGTCAGTAAAAACATCATCAAATGCATGACAAGATGCAAACAGGACTTCGCACTCATTGCTGACAGGAATAAAAAGGAACAAGGTGACTGGAAAACAGTTTAGCGGTTTCTCACAAAACATACTAAATGGAACATATACACAGAGAAATGTTGCTAAGAGCTTAAAATGTAATTGGCAAAACTTGAACAGAACCAAGATGACCTTCAACAGAATGGACAAATAATCCATGGCACATACAAAGAATGTTATTCAGTGTTTGAAGGAAATGAGCAGTGTTCAGCACGGAAAGACAGGGTCATTTGAAGTGTGTATACTGGCTGTAAAGTCCACATGAAAAGGCTACTATTGTATGCAAGATTCCAATCACACGGCTTTTTGAAACAAGCCAGGAAGACAGTGAAAGATCAGAGGCTTCAAGAGGTTTGGGAAACCACAAAGCATTTCAGGACAGTCAAATTAGCCCTATATGACAATGTAATAGTGCATATACACATATATTTGTCCAACCTACATAGTTACAAAAGAGTGAATCCTAATATGAACTGCTCAGGGATGGTGGTGTATTAAGACAGGTTCAGCAATTATACAAATATACCACTTTAGTCAATATGTTTGACAATACAGATGTGGGAATACAATTACATGAGAAGTCTCTGACCCTTTCTATGAAGTGAATAGCTCTCTAAGAAACATTTGTCTTGCTGAAACCTTAGTATACTCCAAAATTAGACTTGAGCTCAATGTCCAGTTCACCTCTTCCTGAATGTGACCATGTACTAAAGGAAAGAACTAGTTAATAAATGTAAAGCATCTCACATATAAAAAACCCAAAAGAATGCTCATCAAAAAAAAAAAAAAAAAATCAATGGTGGCATGTGCCTATAATCCTAGCACCTGGGAAGCAGGGGCAAGAGTCCCAGGAGCTTAAGGTTACCATCAACTACATAGTGAATTTGAGGCTAGTCTGGTCTATATGGGACCCTGTTTCAAAAAATAATATTAATAAATAAAACTAGGCAAAAGCCCAAAAGATATACACCAGCTTAGCTACAAATATATGAGAAATCCTCCCAAAATCCAGCAAATCAAAACTCTGAATATAATTTTAATGCAAAATGTTAGGCTCATCAATAACTTTTTAATAAATTCATTATTCAAAATTAACAGAATAATTCTTCATGAAAAGAATATACACAATGAACATAGAAAATTCTAAAAGGTCATATTCAAAATTCCAATTCTCTAGAAAAATATATAAACCACTTCAACTAGGAACACAATGAGACAGAACACAAAGTAACGGAAATGCCACTTTAACCACCAAAAGAACAGGAAGAGCTAATACTAAACCTTTACTTTCAAAGTCTAGGGGTACCTCTTCAGGGTAGGACTCCAACCTCTTCCCAAGAAACCTTTATATTCTGTTTCTTACTGATTTGGTTTTTTTTTTTAAAGACAGTAACATTAAACACTCTGAAACTAAATAAAATAAACATGCAACTTTCTATGAATTGTGGTAAACTTTCACTGTAATATCCTAAATAATTATCAATGTAAACACTTTTATTTAAACTAAAGCAAATCTTTGGGGCCTAGTGGCATAGGTCTATAATCACAATACACAGAAAGCTGAGGCAGAAGGATCACAAGTTCAAGGGCTATAAAGAAAACTCAAGGCTACCCTGCCTCAAAAACAAAAATAAGAAAAGGATTGTATATACAGTTCAGTGGTAGAGCCTTTGCCTGGCATGTGTAAGGCCCTAGATTCAATCCCTATAATTGTAAATTAAATCGATTTTGATAACTAGATTTTTTAAAGAGAGTATTTTAAAATATTAATGTATTCCATGCAAATGCTTTGCAGGCAATTATGGACGTGCATGCTTGTTGTCATCAATCCCATCTCACAGGAGGCAGAGGCAAGAATCTGACTTCAAGACCAACCCAAGCTACATAGATTCCCAGGCCAACCTAAGCATGCAAAACACAATAGCCAAGTCACTATGAAGTGTTTCATTTCTCACTTGTACTTCTAAACTAAATGACACCTTAAAATTATCTACATAAAAGAGATACATAGTAAACCTAAAACATGATTCTCCAATTATATTATTAAGCACTTCTTAAATACAATCACTTTTTAAAAATGTTATAGATTTCATTTGGTAATTACAAACAGAACGTCAGCTCTCAAAAGTTTCTCTGGACAGTGGTAGCACACACCTTTAACCCCAGCACTGGTGAGGCAGAGACTGGCTGATCTTTTTGAGTTTGAGACTAGCCTGGTCTACAAAGTAAGTTCCTGGAAAGCCAGGGCTACATAGAAAAACCCTGTCTTGAAAAACCAAAATCCAAAAACCAAACCAAACCAAACCAAAATGGTGGCCTTGGGTTCCACAGCATCAGATCCAAATCCCTTGGTAGGAAACAAGCTGTGTCTGAACACACACATTTTTGTCATTACTCCATGCACAATACACTACAACTGTTGACACAGCATTTACATGGCAGCAGGTTTAGGGAATGTACAGGAGGATGTGTAGGTTGTGTGTAAACACTACACCTTACACAAAGGACTTGAATAGTTGTAGACTTGGGCAGGGAGACAGCTGTGTCTGAAAATTTAAGGTTGTGTCTTCTATCTTTATTACAATGGCCATTAGAAGTCTGAAATCAAATTGAAATCATGCTTATTTGTCAAGTTTAAAGACTCTTTGCTGTAGGAACATTAGTAGACACTTTTATGACGAATATCTAGAAGCAAAAAAATTCAATAAACATACAATGTAGTATGAATTGACTCATAATTTACAGACAATAATAACTTCCTAATATGGAAAAATATTGACAAGGAAGTACACAAAAGCCACCTCTATGTGTTCAAGGACTTATAGGGGCAGCAAATTACTAGGCATATTTTGGTTAAATGCTACCATTTTTAAAAAATACAATTGTTTCCACCCAATTCAAATAAGCAGATGTTGGTAGATGAGAACATTAAAAAGCTTAACAGAACTAAGCTTTCAAAATTAAGAAAAATTCTTAAAGGGGCAAAAATTAATTGAATTGATGCATTTCTTTATTATATAGCCTGAAATTCTTGACACTGAAACCAAAAATTATCTGTGAATAACTTTTCAAAGCAAGCTGAAGTGGGAAGGGAGAGTTGTAAACCAGTCATTAGTAAGATTTTACTAAAATATTAGTAACAGTTTTACAATAAAGGGAAAACAGTATCAATGTTTTAAAACCTAAGAAGACAGAGGCATCTCATTACTAATACACTAGTATTAAAATATTAGCAATATTTCAAGCTCTAAAATACAGGAGTTTGGAAACAGCTGTAGTGGAAAAAAAGTACAGATAAAAGGCTAATCCTAAAGATCAACTAGTTCGAATCTACAGTAGTAACTACTACAAAAGGTCACTAACTTATTAAAACACAACCTTTGCTCCTACCCTCAAACAACCTATCGTCTAGCCATTCTAGCAACACTTTAGAATCATGCCTGCCAAGGAAGATGCAGGCTTTACAAAGGCTCTATCTGTGGTCATAATCTATCATTCTGAGTGAGAGGGAAATATTTCCAATTCCCAAGCGTCTTGTGCCCCTCCACACCAAAAAAAAAAAAAAAAAAAAAAAACAAAAAAAACTGAAAAAACCACAAACAGAGTATTGAAACAAACAACAGGATTTTGTATCACAGAAACCAGTATTATAGCATAGGCCTGGACGGCTGAGGCAGAAGGATGCTCTCAAGTGCAAGGCCAGCTTGGGCTACACAGCCAATTTTGAGACAAGCCTGGAACTGGAAGGAGGGGTATAAACAGAAACGTCTACTCCGATTAGTCTACATTTTCAAAAGCATTCACGATGTAGTCACACTACCCTGAAGAATGTTTACAGAAGTGTCACCATTCAAATCCACTCTCTAAAGAGGGAAGGCAGTTAACAGCAGCCTGTGTGAGTACCACGGCCAACAAAGACAAGAGTTTCATAAAACTTTTCCACAGCGAGGGAACAAATCACAATGAGTAATGGGTTTGTCTGTGGAAATCACTTGTTCTAACAGCACTTGGAGAGCAATGGATCTGAGAAGAATTCACACGCTGGGTTTTGGGTTTTTTTTTTTGGGGGGGGGTGTTTGTTTTAAAGTGCAAACCTCACAACCAAAGTCCAAATGTGAAGCAAGATTCCTTACAGCGAATTCCCATTCAGGGCAAGCTCACTCTTGCTTCACGGGGCAAAGCAACGTTCATGGATGATGAAAGTCAGTTCAGCTAACGTGTCCGGGAGTCATTTAAAAAGAGAATTTACTATCGTTCACTATCTCGCTCTTTTTTTTCCTGAAACGTTCCACTGACTCAAGGATGGAGTGATCCACTGAGCTTTGTACCCTGAGGCAAAGGAGCAACAAGAAAAAGGAGGTGGTTTTACAGGTGGCTCCCGGGTTAGAAAACAATTGGGAGGAGTCTGTTCTAGAAACCGTGCCTAAGTTAGTGCTGCAGCGAAGGTTTGCTGCTGAAGCGAGCGCAGTTACCCAAAATCCAACCACACAAACGAAACCGCTTCCAGACCTGAGTACTTGGACCTACATTTATTAATCCACTTCGAATCCCAGCACTTCACACTCGAGCTTCCAAATTCAAACCGCCAACGTTAACAGTTCCCGGAACGACACCAAAACCAGTGAAGCCCTTTTCCATGTCCCCGTGTGAATTGACAAAGGAAGAGGTCGGGCATTCACAATTCGCCCAACTTTACACTCAAGACAGTATAGTGACAGCAAAGACAGTAACTCCCTCACCAACGCTGTTCCCACACCACACCGAATCCCTTTGTTTCTACTCCCCGCAAACGTAAATGGAACAGAAGCCGAGAACCTCGGCGTTATACTGAAGGAAGGATGTAACAAAAAGTCAAAGAAACTTAACGGAAGCTACAGAGGCAGAGATAACCCGAAAGGTCGATAGAAAAGTAGGAAAGGCAACCCAAAAGGAATGGGAGGAAAACCTAGGGTGTTGGAAACCACTTCAAGGGCTGCCAAGTGACGGGAATCTGGGCCCACCAAGCCGAGGTAGGACCGAAACCCGAAAAAGAGCTAACGGGGGGGAACAATGGGGCGGTGAGTCCCGGAGCTAGCGGGGCGACACCGAGCCGAGGGCGGCCAGGAGGTCCGGGACGGGTGGGATGGAAGGGCAAAGGGCTGCCCGGAGCTGGGAAAGGAGTTCGGGCGAGCATCCGGGTGGGTGGCAAGTTGGTGGAGCGCGATGGGGCACGGCGGCGCCTGGAGCCAGGAGGAAAGGGTCTCGGGGGGATCTCCGGGTGGGGAATGGCTTGTCACGTAGCTTTCTCTTTGGAGAGGAGAGCGGAGGCCGCGCAAAGCAGGTGTGATGGAAGCAGCAAGGAACCCAGCTCGACGAGGCATCGGAGCCACGGCGCAGCTGAGACGCAGGGAGGGAAAAGGCAGCTCGAGAGGGAGAGGAAAAAGATGGAGAGGGGGCGGGAGGGGGAGCGGGGGGCTTCACTCACAGTCCAGGTGCTTCTTCTTGGGGCCCATGATCTCGTGGGTCGTGGCCTTGCATACCGTCTTGGAGACCGCGGAGCCGGTGACACTGTGCTGGGCCGCGGTGATTCGGTCCGTCAAGCTCTGGCCAGACATCGTTGCGGCTCGTCCGCCAACCCCCTTCCGCTCGGCAGCCGGCGGGGCCTGGGACCCCCAAGCGCCCGAGGGTCCCCACCCCCCACCGCACCCC